CAACGATCGATACTTGCGTCCTCTGCATTCTATAAAAAATTCTTACGTTGTTCTATAACTCTTCAAACAATTGTACAGTCTGGCCTCTAAATCGTTACGTTAAAAATATAACTAATTCTTAATTCTAACGAATCTACGTATGATTATCGAAATGGAATTATCAAAATGGAATCGATAAAAGTGACATGTTCCAACAACGTAATGTAATTTTAATGATTGTAAATTCCATTCGTTCAACTTTTTAAAACACCTATAACAATCAGACTTGTTGAATGAATTCCCTCGCGCGTCAGTTTGATTCGATTCAGCCATCCGGTTGAAAAATTTAGTCGACACAAGTTTTCAAATTGAATATTCTGCTGCTTTTCGTGATCGCGGCTACGAAAATCTCTCAGCCTTTTGAGACTTCGGAAAATTTGTGTCCTAAAATAGATTTTAAGGATTGGGATTGAATTCTACAAAAGTTTTTATAGAAAAGTACTGCGCGGATATTATTTCGGAAAGAAAAGTTAAAGATTATAATAACTTTTCGAAATCGATATGTAAACTTATTTTCCCTTTTTTTTTACCTTCAATTTATCAAATAGTAACAAATTTTAAGAAGGGAAAATGACTTTACAGATGTGTTAATAAAAGATATGCTTTTAGTCAAACGTTAAGTAGTAAAAAAGTGCCTCGGAAGGATTAAGTCGTATAAAAGTTTGCGCGTGTTGCTTGTGAAAAACTGATCGCTTCGTCTTTTCTATTTATCTCGTTTGGCTCCCTTATACTTATTTCTTTCCTTTTTATTTTGACTTTGTCTGTCGATCAGCTCGGAAGGAACGTTTATTCTTTCATATTGGGAATTACAACAATACGCGTAATACGTATCTTATTAGACTGTCATCTTTCTCTTGGCAGTCGCTATATTCTATATAGCTGATCTACATTATTGGTTTGCTTTGCAAAAATAAAATTTCCAAAGAACAACTCTGATACTCTCGTTCAACGATCGTCGGCGTTTGTCAGCTGAGCGTTATCATCGATCGTTCACCGATCAAGCCAGCGAGAATGCGACATTTCGCGCTTCTTTATATTTCTCATTTGTTTTCCCTTTCATTTCATGCAAAAGTGTATGTCGTAACGGTACCTTCAAAACAAACTTCGGTCCCGTTGCCATAATTTCCGAGAAAGAATCGGACGTCCCGTCCGAAATCTGTTCGAGTTTCTCTGTGTCCCTCTCTTTCTGTTTTTTTTTCTTTCATTTCGTATGAAATGAATCGCGGATTCCAAGCTGCGAATGATGCCTTTCGCGTGGTCAGTGTGGTTCCGCTCTTCTTTTGTTCAATGCGTTCTATTTGTTCCTCTCGCATCAGCGTCGAAATTGAACGGTGTGCCAAGAAGAAGCGGAAGCGGTAGACGAATCGGTCGATAACCGGATACGCATTAAAAAGTACATACGTTAGGGTGGTAGAAAAAAGATTTTCGCGGGATAAAAAGTTCCTTTGATGGTTCGCAAAGGCTACGTTTCACCCGTGGCTTTGATGTTCCCTAGAGTAATTGACATGTGAAGATACTTATAATTTATACCTTTCTTTCCGCTGAACAGCTCAACTCCCTCCCTTTCTTTTCTCACTCAATTCTATTTCCTCGCGACTCGCCCAGCGATAGAAATCGATATCGTGAAAAGCAGTACAAAATCATCAATATATTTTGAATTAATATTTTGCAAGAAAGATAATACCTTACTGGTCTTTAAAATCTTCAATTTCTTTATATTCTTGACAACATGACAGAAAATCATGCAAAGCATATAAAAACTGAAAAATATTTCTTCCGAGCTTTGAATACTGAAAGAATTTTAATAAAATATAAAAATAGAATTTTTTTATCATAGAAAGTAACAAGCTTCCCGGAGATATAGAATTTCCACCGCTAAACATTGTCTCTCGCGTGGTCGAGTGACTCGCGTAAAGAGGAGAGTAGATAGATCGAAGGGACGTTTATGACAAAAATTGATAAACTCCCAAGAAAAAATTTTTCATATAAAAACATATATAAACATATATAAATAATATAAAAATTTTTAGCAATTTCTTTTCATTCCTTCTCAAACTAGATTTTTTTGTAAAAGAAACAATGCAGAAATAATTCTTTTAGTTATTTTTTATGTTTTCTCATTATTATTGTTATTTTTCTTGTATCAAACAATAATTTCACAAAAGAAGAAGAATATGTGAACATATATAGCCAAATTTCATAGATAATATATTTTTATATATGTTAATGTAAGTTCTTATATAAAAATTTTTTTCGAATTTAGTGATATACCTAATGATATCCAGTATATTTAAAATATTGCGTCACATTCAAATGCCAAATATATTAACAATGCCAGATATATTAACAAGTCATATTGAAAAAGTAATTTCCTTTTTGCTTTTTTTTTTAATTAGAGTATGATTCAAACTCTCTGTATATTATTTTCATCAACTCTCCTCTGTCCTATCGCACAAGTAAATGTATTGAAAAAGAAAACAACGAACACAATATGTCCATGTGCACGTGTTAAAGGAAATCTTCAAATGTGTTCCTCCCCTTCTATATTTCATTGTTTCTTAATTATTGTACAGAATATCCAAGAGAAGTGCTTGTTTTAAAGTGGCATCTGATCCACAATCAGAAATTTATTAATTTCTTTTAAATAGTATCATAATTAGTCTCTATCTAAAGGAAATTCTTAATTGAATCTGTAAAAATTTGATAGCTCAATCCGTAAAAATTTGTGATAGATAAGATACTTGGCTTAAAAAAATATTGCGACAGGAATGGCTGGATAGATGCCCATGGCATCTGGCTCCGAGAGTACAAGAATTAAGACACGCGGAGTGTCAAGCATCGCTGATTTTTGCGCAAATTTCCAGCCGCTATTGTTGCGGTTTATCGCGCGCGATCTGCGAATTTGTTCGTTCGTTTGTTCGTTCTAGATCCGCGTTTCTCGTTCGCCGGAAAAGCGTTACGACGAGCTATCGATTACCGTAATCTGGGATCGTTGCGAGAGAAAAGTTCAAGTGCCGCGTACGTAGTTGTTCCTACGAGAGAGAAGAGTCGCGAGATTACGCAGAAATGTTATTCGATAATTCGCAGACATACAATTACGTCGATAACGAGCTAATGTCTAGCTATCGTCTAAACGAAAAGAGAAACATCCAAGCCCTCTCCTCCGAATCTCAGCTTATTTTTTCTTCTCCCTCCATCCTCCCCCCGTACCACAGTGTCGCCCTTTGTCTTCCGTATCTCTCGTACGTTCTCCTATCGCCTTGTCAACAGAGTGTTATCAACGAGAGTGTCACCGTGACGTCGCACGGCTAAATAGTCGTTAATTAATAACCTACAAGTAGTACTGTTCCCAGATTTATTTATTCATCGCGCCTCCCTCTCACATTCACGCACACACAATTTTTTGTGTTCTTTATTAATTTCAAAATTTAAAAAAATACATATATATTCTCAACCAGACACGCGCATCGCGACGGGCGCGGTCTAACTATTTACTTTTCTCTCTTTCGTTTTTTTTTCTTTTTGTTCAACTTGTCAAACAACGTTTCTGCCGCTTCTGTGCTTCCCTTTCTCTCTCCTTCTTTCTCTGCCTATCTCTTTGCTCGTGTTAACTTCCTTAATAAAATCCTACCAATCTAAGTAATAATAATAGTTAATTTAAATATATATGCATGTATACGTCATATATATTTATAATGTAATGTACTATGCGTATATTATGTGTCTGTACTATGCTCGATTAGCGAATATAGAGATATGAATAGGATTTATATGGAATATAATGATGCGTAATGTTAGGTTGGGCAATAATTTATCAATAATAATGACAATAATAATAATCATATAATAAAAATAATATTAGAGTAATAATAAAAATAATAGTAAGAAAATAATAAATAATGTTCGATTAATAGTAATTAGATTGTAATAGTAAAATCGCATCGCGGAGTTTAGTAGTTGGCGACTAGAGTTGTGCCGCGATGCTTGTGCAAAGACAATCAGTTAAGATCGGCAATTATAAATAATACTTAATAAATTCGATAAACCGCAATAACGAACAGAGGCGAAAATATATAATTCCACAAAGACAATAGTATGTAAATGGCAAGATGTCGTAATGATCCGATAATAAATGACGAACGCGCGCGTTTGGCAACAGATTCGATGGCGGGGATAATATAATTGTCGTATGCCAATAGTAATCAATGATAATAATAATGTGACTGACATCACGACGACGAGTATGAAAATGTAGGAAAGCCTTATTAAATCCCCTTTCTAATAATAATATAATAATAGCAATAATAATAGAATAATAATAGTAATAATAATAATATAATAATGATAATAGTAATAATAGCGATAATAATAGTAATTATCCCTGTGCTCCGCGCACGTGTCCTTCCTCGAGTGTACGTGTGTGTCACGCGCGTGTCTCCGTGTCGTACGTATATTTATGTATATACGTGCGTGTATACGTGTTACCTTACTGACTAATAGTGTTAATTATTACATACGCTGAGTGTTTAACTTGCTTTACACGCGATGCAAAGTAGCAAAGGTTATCGAGAGGCCATGACTAGACATTCAATCGTATAAGTTTCTTGTCATACGACTTACAATAGTAATAACAAGATGGCGGGCGGCACCGGAAAAATGGCCGACGAATAAAACACACTCGACTTAATTAATATATCCATACACGTAATATACATATAAGTTTTGTTCTCCCAGCTTCTCATCTCTCCCTCCCTTTCTTCCTCGTCCTCTTTATTTAATGCGCTATCTTACTTTCAGTATTTAACTCCTTCGTCGTTTTAAGGAGATGCTCGGCGCTCCTTCTTCCTCCTTCTCTCGCTCGATAATAAAAATTAAAAGAGAGTAAACGATTCACGATTACATGACAGACATTCTGGAATACTGGAGGCTTCTTATCTATACACCACATAGCAAAATCTTACTCTCTCTATCTCGCCCATGCATGTACATCCTTCTTTCTTATTTTCGTTCGCTAGAGTTAAACCTTAAAAACACGCGAGAGCTAAGTCTAGAAAAACGTACCTTAAATTACAACACATACCGTACCACGTGCTGTGCCCAATCAACGGCTATCAACTGATCGATTATAGTTCGATCGTTTTTACTTCTCCCGTCTCTTTTTCTTTCCTTTCCCCGCAAAAAAAGTGGCGGTTCATTGGGGAAAACAAACCAGTACGTTCGGACCCTGCACTCCTTCTGATGCACAGCTCCTCTTAATGGAATGTATTAGTTAATCGCACAACAAGTGGTCCACGCGAGATCTGCGTTACGACGTCCTTACAATTATGATACTTTACAATTACACCTCTTCGTCAGGAAAGCGCTAAAGTGTATCGAAATTCACAAGTGTTTCTTTTTTTTCCTAATCGAAACGAGAGCTGAAAATTGATTATGCGTCTCACGACCGTGTACCATTTTAGGGAACACGCAACTCTGGAAATATCACCAAATGTGACGAATTGGGACACGTGCTTATGAAAGGTTCTATTTAAGGCTGAACTATTATTTGACATAAGTAATTTGTCTGCGGTAATCTGATGAGAATTAGAAGAGACGTAACACCTCGATTCTAAATCCTCTCATGTTACGAAGCGGATAAGATAAATGGATAAAATTATATCATTGTGTTCTCTCTACAATATGTAAAGAACAAAGAGCTTATTAATTGTAGATTTGAAAAATGAATATTATATTGTATATCAAACTCAGAGTAAATCGAAGATTTGAATGGCGTATCGGAAGATCGGCAGCGATTCTTCAAGGAGGAAAAAGACGTGAAGAGTTATTTTCTAATGGAAACACGGAATGCCGGTCGCATCGTTTCGCCTTCACGCTTCAACATACGGACGATTAAAAACTTTTTCCAAGGTAAGTAAGCAGCAAGGGCGGTTCAACGATTAACGATAACTGGCCATTCAACATCGAGTAACGTCTTAAGATCTACTTAAATTCCAAGGGAGAACGAGGCGACCAGCCTGATAATTTGTTCGTCGGTCAGGCTATAATAATAAAGAACCTTTCGCCATCTTTGTACTTCAAACGTACGCATCAATTTCCTTTTTTTTTTCTTCTTCGTACCCTTTTTTCTTCATACCCGTAACTCGCATTACGGCGTAATTCACGTCATTTTCCGCACTCGCATACTTCGCTACTCCGTCATTTCCAGACCGCCATTTCGATCACGATTGCGAAACCAAGATTCTTAAATAGATTTTATAAGAACGGTCAGCGACAGGCGAGTCCCCTTTAATGATTTTCTTTTATCAGGAAATGTTGAAATGGATTTTTCAAAAATAACTTTACCATTATCTTTATCTTCGAACCATGTTTTCCAGAGTTACGTGGTTCAGAATAACGAGATTATATCGAGAAACTCGAGCATTGAATATATGACCGAGTTTCTCAAGCTGAATTTGTTGGTAATATTAATGGCCTCATGAATTTTCTTTTGAATTTCTTCATCTTCGAAGAAGTCATTAATATTTCGTCATTAATATACGTACGCTCATTCTCGATTCGTGGACCCTCTTGTAATTCGTACTGTCGTCGATTGGCGCACGTCGCGCGCGGATACGTATACACCACGTTTAATCATGCTAGTGATATATGCGTACGATAATAATTAATTCGCGTATATCGCTTACGGACTAAGAAATTCGTGATCGCGCGTGTCGCCCAAGACTCGCGGCCGCATCTCAATCGGCTCCGGTCAGCGCGATCCGACGATTTCGCTAAATTATAATAACCTAGCCGTGTAGAGGACGAAAGTACGATCGACTGGAGCCGATTCGGCGCCACCGAGCCGACGTTACGATGCGCCGATCCTCCACGGATTTCGTTTACAGCATTTAATATGCATTGTATGTGGTGTCAGAGAGACTGCAGCTCGGCAGCAAGTACAATATATAACTAGGCATGCAACAATACTTGGAGTGGTTTTTCTCGAGTTAAAAATAGCGATCAATCATTCAATCTCTCTTTCTCTCCCCCTCTCGTACCCTTTCTCCCCAAAGTATCTGTCTCACTCTCTCATCTCACTTTCACAGTTGCTCTTTTTTGTTTACTCATTAAGTAACATTACTTGGGCCCGGGAAGAATGTAATTTTTCTTCTTTTTTTTTCTCTCTCTCGCTCTCTCCCTTTCTCGCGAAAGTTACACAGAGTCGCCGCGCGCCGCTGTCTTTGCTTTTGTGTCTCAAAATGTGTGGCGTCGTGTGGATAATTAAAAAAAAGTTCCCCCTCCTTTCAAAATGCACGGATACCTTTTTGTCATTAAGCTCTCGATCTCGTCTCTTCTCCTCTTCTCCCACGTAAGGAAAAGTTTTCTCTGACTCTCGACCGAGATCTAATTACTCATAACACAGACGCATCCGTGACTTTACGCTGCCGTACAAATTGCAGCAAGTCAAATGATTTAGGATAAGTCATCCCTCCCTCCTCGTGTTTTCAAGGGACAGATGTTCTGCATGCGTTTCGTCGGCGGCGCCCGGCGCGGTCGATACACAATTAACGCGCGTTGCGAACGTACAAAAATATATATGTGATATCTATATAATCCGCTATAGGTTTCTAAAAACTCGTCTCTTTTTTTTCTCGTTATTATTAATTCACTGGCGATCACGACGTCGCGTCGAGTGCCGCCGAGGGGCCATGCATTCGCTCACAGGAATTTCCCCGTTCAGTCGCGAGATCTCGTTTCGTTTCATTTCTCGATTTTTCTGAACGTCCGTCACGAGAGATCATCGCGCGGATAGAAAACTGTCAGGAAAAGCGAGGATATTCAATATTGGACATTAAGGTCGAGAATTGACCAAGTTCTTCTTCATCTCACGTTACATTTTCGCACTTAAGACATCAGAAGGAATAACGTGTGCTAGGAACAAGTTAAGTAAAATTCAACAACTCGAGAGAATATGCAATTGACTTGGTCATTCCTCGACTTAAACGTATCGATCGACAAGATGTTTGCTGCAGGCAATGCCTTCTTCAGGATTCATTTATCATTCGAAATATCACTTCTGTTCATCATTTTTGGCATTTGTCACAATGTACAGAATATTATATTTTTCTCAAATGACTTTGGAATTTGAAAAAAAATACTAGTAAAGGAAAAAATAATAAACATTTACTTTCCCGGGAAAAAATGTTATACATACGGACATATTTTACATATCATTGTATATAAAATATGTCAGCACAAATATTTTTTATATAATTATATATAATTTTAAATAATATATAATTATATATGAAATATTTTTTCCCGAATTCTTACAGATCAAATCAAAGAAATGACAGATACTGAAACTCGCTGTAAAATAATATAATTAATAATAATTTTTAACAATAAAAATCAAGAAACGGTACATAAGATAATACAAATAGTTAATCTGAATAAAAGATGAAATTTCGGTTTTGTTTTTGACAGTGTTTCTTCCTTCGCGTAATGGATTTAAATTACTATGAGAAATCCCAGCGGTTACACGTAACAAGGACATGTGTGTTGGTGGACAACAAACAACTAGCTACGCTAAGAGATCTATAGAGACTATACTGCATCATCTATAATCAAACAGAAACATAAGGCTACGTAACGCACACATTATAGTGGAATGTACTGATCACCATCGACGAGGAAACTTCGTTGGGGGTAGATTTCCTCGTCGATCATACTTGCATTAAAACGCATATGATACGCCTACAAGGATCGTAAATGAAAACTCGATTACTCGGGATAAGAAAATATTGACGGACCAGTTCGAAAAATGTTAGTTTGAGATTATGTTAAAGCAATTTGATTAAAAAATGAAAAAAATAATTATTGGAATAATGAATGAATAGTCAAATTTACATTATTTAAATTATTGTGCCTACGCTTTAAAAATACTTTTTTATCATTTGCATGATGAATAATAAAGAATGAATTTCAAATAGCACCGTCGCATTGTGATACTAGGCGAAGAATGCTTAATCTATAACATGTGTAAGGCCGGAATCAGACTACGCATTGAATATTGAGATTGAAGATTGAAAGATTGAAATTTGACCAATCAAAACAGTAGGAGCTAAAATTCCTTTGTCCTCATTGGTCAAATTTTAATCTTCAATCTTCAATCTCAATCCTCAATGCCTAGTCTGATTCCGGCCTAACAAGAATAAAATAATAAAATTGGAAATTTTATATCAGTAATTAAACTTTCATTTGACAGTGGACTTTTCTTAAGAGTTACATTTCTATTCGATGCTTTAAAATGGACTTTCCTCAAAAGGGAGATATTGATTTTCCGAACCGGGCCGCAGCCGTTGTCAGGGAATAGCAGGCAAGAGACGTAGAAAATAAAAATAAGACCAATGCTCATCTATAATGTGAACTGAAAATATTATTAAAAAGCATTTTACAACAAAAAATAACTAAAAAACAAACAAAAATACGATTTACAATTAAATTAAGAACAATCGAGTTGTATCATCTAAAAATAATAATACAATAATATTATAATAATATTAATAATAATAACATAACAAACCAGTACAAAAAGAGGAAGAAGAGTGGCTGACAGCGAGAAGAAAAGTGACAGTGTCGAAACGGTATTTCGTTCTCATCTCTCGCGCGCATCGCGGAGCGTTTCATTCTCGGTGATAACGCGAGCAATGCGAGCGCGCACGCATATATAAAACACACGCAGGCATAGTAGTACATATACACACATACACACACGCATGTACGTACATCTCGCGGACTCTTACTTTGGGAGTAATGCGTAGGAATGGAATTTAATCTCTTGTCTTGTGTGCGCGTGCCTCACGGCCGATTACTGACAATGAGAGCGGCGAAGTGGTAGTGATGGCTAGCTGGCAAGGTGGCGCATCGTGTCTTCTCAGTTTTCGCGTCAAACGCGTTAATACAATATAATAACGATATAATAACTGATTAATAAGGATAATAATGTAATAATAATAATAATAGTAACTAAATATCGATAATAACTAATTAATAATAGCAATAATGATAATGACAGTAATGTTAATTAGGGATCAACGCATGCTTATGCGATATAAATACTAATGGACAGATACCTTGTGATGCCGTCTCGATGGTGCAAGTTTCCTCTGTGCACCCCTCCCCTCCCCAAATTAATATCCCCCTTCCTAGAGAAAAAGATTTCGAATTATAGATATTCCATTCGCGTCGTTCTCTTGGCATTCCGTCTTTGTCAAGTTATTTAAAAAATAGACGCGGAAGCGTGATCGATTAATGTTGAAACAGCTTGACGGTTTGCCCGAGCCAACGCGAGAATGGCGCTTAATCAAGAGACTAAAACAGAAACGTCGAAACAATCGCGACATAATGAAAAATGAGATTGATCTAAATAATTTTCGATGACCTCTGCATTCGTTTTCTCAGCGGACACCCTGCTAATTTTTATTATCCTTGTTCATCTTTAAAGTTCGGTCTTCATGACGAGGACATTCCAATCGGAAAATGTCCAGAATTTGCAGTCAAAAATAATATCGAATCCTTCATTCGAGATAGCAAACGACAGATAACGACAGGTGCATGTAGCTACTCCGCGATATGATTCTGAGCGTTTACGCGACTCGAAGGAAGAAGATCGAAAATGCTCACGGAATGTCTACGGAATTATCTCGGATAAACAAGGACAAAATTCAACGACGATCACCTGGTTCAGTAGTCTTTAATTATGTAAAAAATTAAAGGATTCACGATTCAACATCTATTTTAGTACCTGTATCTGTCGAATATCACATTGTTCGTCGCAGATGCAAAACGTTTGTCGTATATCATAATTCGCGTGTCTCTAAATATTCATTAACATACAAACGTCAGTTATGAGATTCATAACGTTCATACAAACGTCATCGAAACTTATACATTTTTTGATCACATGTATTTCTCTTTTTTAAAAGTCATTTATACTTGTAAACAGCGACTACAGCAGGTACAAAACGCTTAAATCACAATTCCTGTTTCCTGAATTATAAATTCACGGTAGATTGATCGAAGGATTAAGTCTTTGGATCGAATGCCTTAATCGAATGCCATGAATCTTCAGTTCGACTTCGTAAATGTCAGCTTGTTACTGACTTAATCAGATTCGACTACCAAATCAAGCGATCACGAGATAGCAATAATCGCGGATTATTTCAGGATCTTAGATTGCAATCGATGACGAAACTATTTGAAGAAATGTTTGAGGAAATGTTAAATATTAGTTATCGCTCGAATTCTAATCGAATTATAGAGTCGATTATTGAGAGATTATTATTTCTATCCACTATCCTAATTCATTATTCTATTTAAAAATTTGTCATTGATTTGAAACAATCTGACACTCGATCGAATCGTCGAAAATTAATTTAAAAAAAAATTCACTAGTTATTCTGCGTGTCAAATATGTAATATTTTCAAAGTGGCGAAATAACTTTTTTTTTCGTAAACGATTGAGTGCAAAGATCCGAAAACTTTATATCAATCTAAGAACTTTCCAAAATTTCCAGAATTAAGCTGATGTTTGCATCAATGAAGCAATCTCTGATGATTTCCAAAGATCCTAACATAATCCACGAATCCTCATTTTAATTAGAGTCGTTAGGTCATGCCAGCTAGCCTTTTTCTCTTCGTAATACAGGGGCGTTGGATGACGTCTTGTATCGACAATCGAAAGTCGCAACACGTTAATAATAATAGAATAATAATAATACAATAATATTAATAAAAAATATAATAGCAAACATGCACGGAGTCGCGCGGCGGAGACTTGTGAGGACTTCCGCGATTGGCGATCCATCCAACAAAATATATTAATACTATAAGTTTTCTTTTCAAGTGAAACAGACGCCAGTGCAAACCTAAAACGGCTGCGTGGCAGTCAGGTGGGAATCGGAGGGTGGTGGTGATGATGGTTTTCATCATTGGTAGTTCGGGTAGATGGTGGTTTCGTGAGAATCCAAAAACATAAGCAGTAGCAACAACGCATTCTTTTTTTAAGCGCAGCGACACAAATGAAAAAGAGAGAAGAACAAAAGTTGCATCAGGCTGTAATAACGTAACTATCGAGAGAATGAGATACAGAACAAAAAGGAAAAGTCTTACACGATCGCTAAACCGGCTAATAGCTACTATATGCGCTACGATACTAACTACGCTAATAAGAAAGAAAAAGGAAGAGGATTTTGCCGTAAAATGGGAAGTTGGAGAAGACAATGAAAATTCGTCTTCTGGTTTCGTATCGTTAATGAGGATAGTGGTTACGTTAAAACGATTGCGTTATTTTGCTATGAAAGTCGAGAATGAGCCTCGATAATTTAACAACGGTATACGCAATCGGCTTCTTTTTTTTAGGCGTGAATCAAACGCCAAGCATCTTATTTCTTTTCTTGAGATTCATTTCTTGTAATACTACACCATTCAAGTCTCTATAAATTTTCTGCGTGTCTCCGTGAGTTGAACGATCTTTATGTCTATTAGAGTTATTTGCGTTATTTATAAGTGAATTCAGGATCTCATATTTAAGCGTTAACGTTACTTGGTACGATTTTCCGTGAATACTCCGAAATGTATCGCGACATATGTTTAACCGTAATGAGTAATGATACCGTCGATAAGCACTCAGCATATACTCGCCGACAAAGGTTATTAAATTTATCACGTAAACCGAGTGAGAAAAGTAATTATCGTATGACCAAAAAGTTAACGTAGGTCGATGCGATTTCGCGACAGAATGATGGAAACGAATGTATTGGAGTGGGAAGTGTAAAAATTACTTAAGTAAAACTAATCAATAATAATAAGTTGAGAAGACAAGAAAAAATAAATGCGTGCAATGACCGTTCAATGACGTTCAACAAAACGCTGTCATAGTTACAAAATGCACCTCAGAATGAATTTCCGTAGGAATTGTCGATAACCGTTCCAAAACGAAGGGGAGAGACGTATGAGATGGGAAAATCGAAAGGCAAATTCATCGGGAATACAATCTATTGATCCACAACATATAAGATGTCCTGTCGTCCGGTTACTTAGAATCCGCGGGATGATTCTCGCATCTCACGGATAATTAATTGAGTCAAATGATCTCGGATGATCAGCACAGTCCCAAACGCGCCCATACACGATTCAACAATCTTCGACGAATCTGCTACCCAAATATGTCGATATATTATATTATATATATTATTGTATTGAAATATAATGATGAAATTATTAATGTTTCCAACAATTTCTCAAACTATCCCCGCAAACATATTATATATTGATAACACATGGATCAATCTGATGTCTTACGCAGTAAGATCAAATGATTGTCCATAGAAATAACGTACGAACAATTTGGGAAACAAAATCGTTTAAAACCGCGGATAAGATGTGCTGATGATGTATGAGCTAATTCGAAGCTTACCGAAGTAATAAGAGTATGCAATACTCGCGGCAATCAGTCTCATGTCCCATGGGACAAAATCAAACCTGTTGAAAGCGGTTTGCAGAAAATCGTTGGATTTCGCGTAGATCTCAAAACGAATCTCTCACGAGATATACATCGAAACGGATGTTCGCGCGACGAACGGACATTCCTCGCGAACCTCGCACGGCATTTGGAGGGAGACATTTCAAGCGCGATGATCGGAAGTGACCCGAGCGCGACGGTCGCGATCGACCACCGTCAAAGAGAGTAACAAAAATGATAATACGCGCGCGGATTCGGGTACACGTAACGACTCGATGCATGTGTTAGTGTGGACCATGTCGTCGTCACGAGTGAAAACGCACTTCCTGATGTGATCGTCGGACGAGGTCTCAGAGAGAAGACCGTGGTTAGTGTGAGAAATGGGAATGGGAAGGTAGGAGAATGGTAACGGGTGTGAAGGGAAGAGGATTGGAGGGTGGAAGGCGAGGGGGAAGTGACTAGCGGCGGCGAGCTCTACAACTAAACAACAACAACAGTATTTTCAGTATTATAACAACATTAACAAGTAAGTTATCGCGTACGCGCACGCGTATTCACAGCGCGTACGCGCGAAGAAAGGAGCGCGCGCGAATTTTTCGGGGCAGGGTTGACGTCCTCTCTCTCTCTCTCTCTCTCTCTCTCTCTCTCCCCCTCTCTCACTCTTTTACTTTCTCTCTTTCTCTTGCGGGTCCTAAACAGCCCAGCGTCGCAAGGGCTATACACACAAAGCGTCGCGCGTTTCTCCTCTTTCTTTCCGCTTGTCCACGTGGGATAAAGAGGGACAGCTCGCGGAAATGCGAGGAGGATATCGAGGGAAGCGCGCGCGTGCTTTCTCGCATACCGTCGGTGATGTCCGTCGTTCGGCAGAGTCCACAAGAGGAGCGCCTCGGGAAAGTTCCGGCGAGGGGGCTCCCATTTTCTTGCCGCGTAAACGACACTCGCTCGGGAGTTGGTTCCTTGAGAGTCATGTATGAAGCAATAAATGGTGCGCTTCTTTCTCATGGTCAGTGTGAAACGTCTCGTTGGGGCGAGCGAAGAAGGTGATAGATAGATGATGGCGAAGATGGTGAGTTGAGCGCGCGAGCGTTGACGATGAAGCAGACGTAGAAGACAGGCGAACGTAGGTGAGAGGAAAGATCGATGAGATCGTGATGGCCACGCGACCGTCCAACGACGAAGAGCGGCGATGATGATGGCGATGACAATGACACGATGAAAAACGTTGACACTGGCGCACGACGATCATCGTCGTCGTCGTGACGCGTCACTGCTCTACATGCCGATCGGCGGTACCTGTACATAGCGGTATATGTACAGCCGGTAATCCTTACTGGCCAGTACGACCGAGCCGTCATCCATTAGCGCCACATCAAAACACTGAGCGTGCTTCACCTTGCTTTCAAGGGCCGAGACCAACTGACCATCCTGCGTGAAGATAGTCAGATTGAAATTATTATGATTGTCCGCTATTAGTATCTCGCCGTGCGTATTAATGCCCACGCCAATCGGATAGTTGGTGATACCTTCCCCGCCAATCTGTCGTAAGTAAGAGCCTTCGTAGTTAAAAACCTTGACACAATGAGCACGATTGTCGCTGATGAAGATCTCCTGTTTATCGTTCACCACCACGCCGTTCGGGAATTCGAGATGTTTCGAACAGCCAAATTTTTGTAGAACGTTGCCAGTCTGATCAAAGATGATGACGCGCATCACTTTGCATTCTACGACGACGATGCGTCCTTTTGAGTCGACGGTGACGCCACGTGGATGCTGGAGGATGTTTGCACCGAACTTGCGTACAAATTGACCGTATTGATTGTAAATCTGAATCTGGTGAGTCGGCGAACGTTCCGTAACAATAATGTCACCAGATGTCTTCACAACGGCGACGCGATTTGGATAAAGCAATTGGCCGTCGCGTTTGCCACACTCGCCAAATTGAAACTTGAACCTGCCTTCTTTGTCGAAGATCTGAATGCGATGATTGTTCGTGTCAGCAACGATGATATCGTTCTGCGCGTTTACCGCGACGCCTGACGGCTCGGTGAATTGACCCTCCATCACGCCAAACTCACCGAACTTACAATGGTAAATCATCTTCTGTCGTTTAATTTGCGACTTGGGCGGGAATATCGCGGTAGACATCAGTTTCGAAGTCAAGTCAAGGACGGAATCGCCAGGTGCGGCGTTCGTCGCTACAGCTACCGACGGCATCGCGAAATGGTCGTTCGTCGTCACGACCGGGTAAGTGTCACTACCGCCGTTGCTCCATTTCTCATACGGATTGGCATTCATTCCGTTTAGATTCACGTCGCTGATCGTCGTGGAGAACGGGCCGAGACTATTGGCCGAACTGAAACGTTTTGAGATCACGCTGCTGACAGTGTCGATCGAGGAAGGTGAAGATGACGATCCGCAATTCATACTGGAGGAGATCAGGCCGTTACTGTAAGTCCGATCTAAGAGAAGACTGCCCAGAGAACCAACGCCGCTTCCGGGTCCGTTGCTAATGTTGCTGCTGCTACTGCTACCAATGCCGTTGCTCGACAGAGCAGTAGGTCGTGCAATAGGTGGTTGTTTGCCGATCGCGTTGTTTTCACTGTTACTATTACTCCGAACGTAACCGAAGGTATTCCTCACTCCCACTTGTATCGCTTGATAATTGCTGACAAACTCAAGATCCGCTGTTTGATTGGCAATGTCTGTATTTGGAGTGTAACTGAGCAGTGACTGGAGCTTAGCCTCAAGGATCTTCTTGACCATGAGGAAATCTGTGATAGTGGTAACTTTGGTTACACGCTCAACGAAGTCACAGGTCTGCATCATTTTGTCTGCCATCTCACCCGCTCGCGTGGAGAGCACATTCAAGGAGATTTGCTTCGTCGAGAACACCGAATCGAGTTCCTTCAGTAGCTCCTGCTTGCGCTCGTCCAGCATTGATCGATAGAACTGGAAGGTATCGTTGATCTCATTTTGCGCTTTGTGATACTGCACCTGTAGTATTGCGGCGTTATGGTCCGTTGCTTTGACCGCCGCACGCGCGTCCGCCGCCTTCGAGCGGCACTCCTGGATGATCCGCGACAATGCTTCCAGTTGTTGCGAACCTACTTCCGTGACGTGGGCACAGTCATGTAACGGCGCCGTATGCTCCGTCAGCGTGCACTCTTTGCAAATTGGCACATTGCAGCTTCTACAGAAGTACTTGATTATCTCTTGCTTATGTCGTAAACAGAAGTGTACCTTCTCAGCGTTGCCACCATTGTTGCTGTTTCCGGTGCCGTTGATAACCAGAGTATTGCCACCACCGCCTCCGCCACCGCTGCTGCCGTTACAGGCGTTTTTAGGCAATTCCGTAGTCGCGGTGATCGTGCTACCACCACCGCCGCCGCTGCCATTTCCACCGCCGCCACCGCTACCGCCGCCGCTACCGACGGTCTCCAGCTTGGAGTCGGCCAAGTTCAATAATCGGTGGCCTTCGAAGCAGAGCATATATTGATGTGCCATCACGCAATTTGGACAGAGAAACTGATCACAATCGTAACAACGCGCTACAGCGCCAGCTTCAGTGGATTTGCAGCCGGTGCAATGGATGCGACTGGTGCCACCGGTGCTACCCAGCCGGCAGCGCGGGCAAGGATCTTCGCCCGACTTTGGTGCGTCGAGGCACAAGTCGCAGCTGTCGACGTCGCAGATCGCCGAATCGCTAGCAGGTTTTTGCCGCTCACCGTTACTGGGGACAGCGAGACCGGGGACCCGAGGGAATTTGCGCGCGATTCCAATGAGGGTGTCGGCGAGGCCATCTTCAGTCAACCGGCATCCCTGCAAGCAGAAATCACCAATATTTATATCGTGTATCGCTACATTTCGTAGATTATTATTATTATTATTATTATAGACTATTTTTTCAATGATAAAAATTTTGTCGTATTTGAAACATTTTAACAATTATATTATTAGTTCTGTCATGAGGGGGTTGGTTACCGAGGTAATTTTTGTACAAAAGCTAGGTAATTCAGCGGCAATCTAAACGAAATTTTGGGTAATTTTTGGTAAATCTAAATAATCTTTAGCATTCTCAGGTATACCTCTTTTTGTTTATACTTAGCTTGATTAGTCATAAAATTTTTAATTTAATACTAAGTTGTGATATCGTTTAACAAAGAGTCTGTGTTACTACTGGTGTTTTTTTAAATATCTTTTTATTTTACAAAAAATACCTCTTTTAATATTAAATTAAATTAATTAATATTTATATTTAATTGGATATTGTTTTGTTAATATTAAAAAATCTGAAACGTTACTGAGTAATCAAACTTGTTACTATCTATACATATAATACATATTTTGTTTGCGAAATTTTTTATTTTTGTGTTCCTGTATGCAATAAATATTTGTTTTGTAAAATTGCATCTTCTTTCTTAAGCAGTGAAAATCTAAAATCGATGTTCTCGAAGATACTTATCATAGTGGTCTATAAAGATATTCTAGAGTGATCTGAAGAAATAATAGTTTATGTATTCGCGTATAAGATAATCTCAGATGAGCAAAATAAATTTGGAAAAATCTTGGGTAATCTCAGAAAATATAACAATTTTAAATACTCTAAGATAATCTTGGTAATATGAGGTAATATTTGATAAGCTGGAATAATTTGAGGTACACTGAATAAAATTTCTGATGAAAAATGGAGGAATCAAAATTTTTTGGTTAAATTTATTAGAATTCTAGTTGAGATAACCGGGATTCTGGTTGGTACAATATTTCTGATAAAATCTACTAGAATTCTTATTTTTATCAGAATAATTATATCAATCAATAATTATATCATAATTCTAGTTATCTCAACCAGAATTCTAGTAGATTTAACCAGAAAATTCTGATTCGTCCATTTTCCGTCAGAATTACTATTTAATCCAATCAGACCATTTTTCTCAGTATAGTATTAGGTAATCTTAAGTAATTTGAAGATAATCCGAGGTAACTTAAAAGTAATCCGTATCAAGGATAATTTTTGTACACTGTAACCACTAGTGACCAATTCCTCGTTCTGTCATTTTATTTAAAAAGTACATATTTACACGGAAAAAAAAGATATAGTTCACACAACTAAAAATATTCAGTTGTGAGCAATATAGAAACATCATCCTAGTTATCTTTATGTGATGGGAATGTGTATTGATACGATTTATTTACTTTGATATATCAACTACATCAATGTAGTTAGGCGTAATCTGGTTATGACAAACAAAATTTGGTTGGGGGATCATTTAACAAGGATAAGTTATATATCCGTATAGTTGCGTCAATCGTGCATTGTAAAGCATGATGTAATAGGAATTAAATTATTAATAAGAATTAATTTCTTGTTACATCATATTATAAATTAAGTTGCAATTTTAAAAAGCAAAAGCGACTCATCACACTTCCAATTAAAAATATGTATATGTGAAATGCCGTCATTGCTGCAACATAACCTAATCTAACCATTGTACTATGTTTCAAGCAACCACATAAATAGTTGTTCCATATTTTACTATTTAATCTGGTTAGCATCACCAGATTTCTGTGTAGACCAACCATCCTGTTTTTTTCGTGTATATATACACATATGTTTTTCTAGATTCTTTTTTCATAATTTTAATTTTTCATTAAAATGATTTTATTAAAATGTTAATTATTAGGGTCATAACTACGCAACGATGTAACTGAGTGTATTTATATTTTTCTGTTATGTAAAACACGCTAGTATAAAATGAAATTTTAATAACGGCACTTTGCTAAGAATAATGCGAATTTCTCTATAAACTTTACTTCATCCACAAGAGAGTTTATAGTAACGAAAGAGAATATTTACAATATATTATTCTGTGTCCTATCGGTAATAGTATCTACTATAATAACAGTATAATAACGTCGTAATATTTAACTATCGGTCGCTCTCTGACTGTTCCTCGAGAGAGAGAGAGTGGCCGTTGTCGTTACGATTAATCGTTATTACGGTGTTTCGTATCTCAAAGGTCTCTTTTATTGCGATTCCCACGCGTACGTCTGGCTACCTCTCCACCTTCTTCTCTCCTCATCCCCGAGGCGCAGCGGTTATTCGCGCGGCTCGCGACGAGCAGAAGGCTTTGGTCCCTCTAATTAAATCGCTCAAGCCGGACGGCCATGTTTCACCTGGCAGTCAGAAGAGGACAGAGATCGTCCAAGTGGCCGCAGGAAAGGGAACGACGTGCGCCGGCGGCGAAGGAAAAGGAAGAATGAGGGAGACTGATATAGACCGCGAGTCCAAGGTCACGAATGCGAAGGTTATCGTACTTCTCTCCCACCCGGTCGAGCGAATTTATCGGATACCGTGCGACGACACTCGCTTTTCCACGCTCGGAGAGAAGGAGGAGGAAGAGGAGGAGCAACGAGAAAGAGGTAACGTCGAGAAGGAAGAGAGAGAATAGAGAAAGAGAGGAAGAAAGAGAGAGAAATGGATATTTTTTTAACGTGTCGAGCATGTCTAAATGAAAATATCGTTTCTCGGAAGCTTCGTGCTTCAACCAATATTATTTCATCGGCGCAGAAAGACTTAATAAAGAAAATATCATGATCTTTTTTTCCCCTCAAAATCGTTTTTATTCGACTTGTTTCATATTTCTTAACCGAAGTGAGCGGTGGTCAAAATTCACGCGATAATATTAGAAACAAGATAGCAAAGCCGCAGACAGAGGAAGAGAGAAAAAGAGAGGAAACTGGAGGCGAAGAGAACAAAGAGCATCTTGCTCGCGCACTCCAGGAAACACTTCTGAAGTTGCTGCACCAACGAGTCCTCGCTTGCGAGCGCGACTAGTGCGCGCCGTCTTCGTGCAAGAATTTCGATTAACTCCCGAGATAAAAGGTGAACGCTCCTGAGGGAAGTGTCCGTGGAGCCCGAGGTCGCCGGAAAGTCGTGTTTAACATACCGAGGCTGAGGAAGTCGCGAGGAACGCGCGATGAACTCACCGAAAGTGAGAATTCACGCCATTGTGAAGAAATCTACGTATAAAAACAGTATATATGTACTTGTATATATATATATATATATGTATATATACATAAAATATCTCCCCGTTGAATAAAATAATTTCATACAAAAAATATTCAGCACGCATATTTTAATAAAATGAATTATTTGTATTGAATATATCAACAAGAGCTCCTTTGTAGTTTCTTTTGAAGCTTTCAAAGACAAAACGGATTTTATGAGATTAAGAGAGATAGCACTTTATTATCGGAAATAATCATTAACTTTGATACGAAACCAATACGACATAAATAATGGAGAAGCCAATGGCAAATTGTTGAAATATTTAACTTATAAACTATTAATGATAAACTACTTAATGTATTGTTTATATAAAATATGTATATTGAATATATACAATTCAACAACCAAATGTATGCAATTGAGATAGGTGAGCTATGAAAATAGCGAGTGTCTTTTCGCTTAATTGTTAGCTTTTCGAAGTAAAATCTGGAGTACGTTAAAAATACATAATTTTGTGTAAAAATTTATTACTTTATGCATTACACAGTTTATTTCATTTTAACTTTTAACATCTGTCTTTGAACATGCACGCCTCAAGTGTCGAGAAAAGAATATAAAAAACGTAATTTCAAACGATCGTGCACGTATGACAAATCACATACCGCGACGGGATATAACGAGGGAGGAAGAGGAAGGTTAATTCTTTCTCGCGCGCGAGGGGATGAAGTGTCTGAATAAAAAATGCGACGGGGGATCAGGGAGAAACGGGCGCAGGAACGTGTCCTTGGCGAGGATAATTCCCGTTATCGAAGTACCGTTGCAGTTTCGAACGCGGATCGCAACCCCACGGTTGAATGCACCGTGGGAAGGGGTGGCGGACGGCGCGTCTGGTTTCCATGGTAACGCTGCATCGACCGCCCCAACCCTTCGAACCGGAGTTGTTCCGACGAGGGTCGAGTCCGTTGCCGCTCATGATGGTGGTGGTAGCGACGGTGGTGCGGCGGGAACCAAGGGGGATGGCAACCGCCCTTCGGGAACGGTAACCGTTGGTGCATCGCCCTTCGACGCAGCCTGCTGGTGCGTGCTTTTCTACGGGGTGATCGAAAAGAACCTCGCCAGGATATACGGGAGTAATCGCGAAACATACAAACAAAGAATCTTTGATGAAGTTTTTTACTATCTATCTGTGATTATCGCCACAGTGATAATCACTGATATTCACGAAGCTAAGATTTTACGATGTTTTTATCGATTATCGATAATTTGAAACTTTAAAGATTGATTATAATAATCTTTGTAAAAACGCATTCTGCAGCGTTTAACAATACACTTTTACAGATTTTTCTATGATGGATTGTTCCTCAGTGGCAATTTAAATAATGCTTCGTAAATTTATTTAAAACTTTGAGAATTGATGTTCTCTCTTGTTTTCTTTAATATTTGAAGGATTTAACTCTTCTTCAAATTTTACAATTTTAGAATATATTCTCCCAATGGATATTTTCGAAAAAAATCAGGTTGATCGAACTATCCGTGAAAATCTATGTTCACGAATTCACGCTCATCAGGAATTAAATGTCAAATAGTGTCTAGTGTCAAGCAAGACTTGCATCGAGTGTACTACCCGGGGCATACATACATTCTCGCGTGTACTACGGTCGGTAATTTCAATGTCACTGCCGGATGTTTCTTCAGCCCCAAACGAGGGGAGCGGTCGCCACCTGCCCCCTCTACCCTCTCGTTTGATTAACGTTATTTTGCTCGACGAGTAAGCATCGACCACGATCGATACATGGCGCGGCGGCGG